CAGGAACACATTCAGATGCCAAGTACATAAACCCAACAATAAGTAAGGCATTTCAAGAATGGGGTGGGTAGATGAAAATAATACGAAATACCAAAATTTATAAATTATATTAATGTAGCTAGTCACACTCCATAAATCTACACACATGATGGGAGATGAAACCACAGTAATACAAAAAATTAATAAAAATACATCATGTTGGAACAAAAATACCAGTACTTTTGAATAATTTTCCAATGTACAAATCAGCACATGTCTGTGGGATATTTGCTTGCCATCTTATTCAGAAATAATTAAAATAACTTCTTCTGCATCTAGTCAGTCAGTATAGTGACTAGCTACGGGCTGGACGACTGGGGTTCGATCCCCGATGGGGGCAGAGGATTTTTCCTCTAGCCTCTGCGTCCAGACCGGCTCGCTCTGGGGCCCACCCAGCCTCCTCTACAATGGGTACCGGGGTCCTTTCCCAGGTAAAGCTGACCAGGGTGTGATGCTGACCACTCACCCCCATCTAGTGCCGAGGTCAACAAAGAGAGGAGCTATACCTCCACTCACCCCAAGGGCCTGTATGGCACGTAGCGGGACAAACTTTACTTCCTTCTCAAGTGTCAGATGCAAACGCTCACTTCAAACTTTCTTGTTGCACCGCAATTCCCTATTTGTTCTGTTTCTGATAATATCTTTAATTTCTCACATACAGCAAATTATTACATTTGGTTTAATTCCTTTTTAACAGCTGTAGTTGTCCTTCATGTCTTCGAAACAGGATTGGGAGGAGGAACGTTCATAAAATATGCTCTATACATGCTCTGCTCACTGCCACCATCCAAAAAGTTTCTGTCGTGTATAGTGAGCAGGTTGCAGCAAACACTACTGTTTTAACCAGTGCAAAAAAACTGCATACATTAAACATAAGCAGACACCAGGTAAACTGTGGCAAAACAATAACAGATGACTGTAATACTACTGAAAACCTGTTGTGAATTAAAAAATAGTGTGGAGATGGCAGAGACTACTTTGCAGTGATTGATAAACAAAAATATAACCCAGTTCCTTTCTTCTTCCTGCAAGAAAAGGAGATTTTAAAGGTCAAGATTCTTGCAATGCCTAAGTCTGGCTCATGCACTGTCGCTAAGTCTACATCTGCATAATGTATATATATTCATGGAACAGTCTGTACTACCTGAATTGAATCCTTAGATATGTTCATTTATAAAAGAGTTGTAGAAAAAAGAGGTGGAAGTACTTCAGCAATATGAAGATTATCAACTTATATGCAAGACTGTTTTAACAATCTTCCAGCATCATCAGAACTGTGAATTCTTGCATGAAAATGTCATGTGCAAACTCATCAGATAAAAGATTTCTGTCTTCTGGGCTGTTGCGCTGTGTAGTCTGGTCGATGTTAACCGATGTTTCGGAGGTCATACTGCCTCCGTCATCAGGGTGATGATCGCCCTGATGACGGAGGCAGTATGACCTCTGAAACGTTGGTTAACATTTACCAGACTACACGGCGCAACAACCCAGAAGACGGAAATCTTCACACTCACCGCTGCGAAAACCTCAAATCTTTTATCAGATAAAACATTACACGTATATAAAAAAGATGTCTTGGACCCACAGGTTGAAATACTAGACTTGAGGCTATGATCAACCCCCACTAAACTCTGATAATTTTTCCCATACAACTTTCAGATTGGTCTTTAACCATTTTATAATCTAGAAAATTTTTAAGTCAGAAATGTAGGGGGAGTAGGTTGGATATTAATATTTATTTCTATAACTTATTACAATTTTTCATCCGATATCTCCTTCCCTGCATAATATTCATATCAATATGATTAAAAGAAACAGTACAATGAAGAGTTAACTATATTTTTTATTATAAAAACAGTGGCTGGAACAAGCACAACCTTACAAATGAAGTAATGGTTAATGTAATGAAGGTTAAGAATGAAAAGTACAACAAAGAAATAACCTTACCTCTGTTCAGCCAATGAAAATTCAAAGCATGCAAAGGTGTGCAAAACAACTTTTTATAATGTAATCTCCACAGTCTTCAGTGGTTTTGACCAGGAATATAACCTACAAATCTCAATTTATGTGATGTTACAAATAAACAAATTTAAAAATAATTGTGATCTCTATTTTGGGGAGGAGAGGGGGGTTGATTCAAATGTGTCCAACAGTGACGCTCATTTTAGGAAACAAAATTATTGGACAACACATTTTCTCACCTAACTAAAACCAAATCAAATATGCACATAATTACAAACCACAACATGGCGAGAGTAAGTCAAATGTCGCTAACCTCAGGCCCAATATACAAGGATGAAAATTAACTACACTTGTATTCTGTAAAGTAACAAATTTGAAGTTTTCTACCTTTTATGTTTATACGCTAATTATATTTTCAAATGAAAGCCATGTCTTTATAGGAGAGGAGGTAGGCAGGGGACAAAATCTTGAACCTCTGTTCTGATGCAAAAACTCTGTCAAGCATCACGTCTACCAGTGAGACAGACGTTCATTTTCTCCTCAAGTTCAACCCTCCACGATCAGAGGTTCTGTCAAAAGTAAAGATGTTGACTGTGACCTCCTTAATGATAACATGTAGTCTTGTAAGTTGTTACTAACATTTTGGAGGTACATACTGCATCCATCTTCAGAGCTGAAGTGATGTCAACACTCAAGATTGAAACAATATATTCCTCCAACATAAAGATTACATACCACCACAACCCAGAAGACCACACTCAATACTTTGCACCTGTCTCATTGGTACAACTTTGTAGGTACTTTTCACTTAAACTGCACCCTGGGCAAAAATATCTAAGGAATGACAGAGTTAAGACAAGTTAATTAATTTATAAAAATTTAAATGCTTTACTTTGCACTTTGTATATATAATTGATTATTCATTTCACACCATGCATTTAATTATAAGGACAAATATGATACCTAAAGAATATGAAACCTACACAAATGTTGAAAATGGTGTGAATCCACTGTCAACAGCAGGATGAAACCAGACTTGCAGAAAACAAAGCGACACCTAACGAGTCCAGAATGCAGACATACTAAAACTAACACACAATTCTAGCAAAGTGTGGATGGTTTCGTAAGCCACGGACGATTCATCCGTGTGAAAGTGTTGCAAGTTTGTTGTCAGTGTCGTATAGCTGGTAGAAGAAACTGATGTCACATCTCAACATTGGAATGCAAGCACAAATGCAGCTGCACAACAGGATTACTACGCCTACTCACAAAGATCAAAACATGGCACTATATGCATTTAATTTTCAGATTACTTGAATAAATTTATATGTACATACGTGATACACGGAACAGAAATTAATTTTAAGAGGTTTTAAAGTGCACACTTAAAAACACAGTAACCTTGAACATGTGAGAATGGGACTCCCATACAACACAAGATTGTGGCATTTGCTTTATTCCAATCTAGGATTATTCTAAATACGGTGATTCAAAATTGTTCATTTTAAATTTAAAACACTTTACCATGTGCCGCAGCTTTCAACTACTTTTCCGTGTCCATTATGGCATCTCCCCATAATACATACTGGCATATCACACATTTTTACCAGTATCTCTCCCACTGACTGTCAATCAACAATATCTATCATTAAAACACATGCAAGAAATACATAAGATCATTTTAATGATATATTTATAAACCATACTGCACATACATGGACAGATACTTATTCTAGTTTAGTAATAATTATAGTTTCCCCAACCCTGGTTATAACCCCCATACCCAGTCTGAGAATAGCCCCAATTCTGATAATTAGCATAATTGGGATCACTGGACTGGCCATACTGCTGATTGTAAGGTGGCTGGCTGTAGGGTGTCGGTGGTTGCTGGGGACCTGTCGGAGGGTACTGACCCCCCTGGTAGCTTCCTTGAGTTGGAGGTTGTTGTGAATATCCACCCGTTTGTCCATAGGTTGGAGGTGGATACTGTCCGGTTCCAGTCGTTGCCGTGGGTGGCTGCGCTCCACTTGGAGGTTGTGCAGTCTGCTGACTTGCGCCACTGTGTGCACTCTGTGGGGATGAATGGGACGGTGTGTGGCCTGAATGTATCTGAGTGCCATCCCCAACTGCAGAAAGGCTCTTTGCTTTCTTGGATGTACCATCCAAGCTGTTAAAAAGTATAAATGAACACAATTAATTGCTACTGAATTCACCACACCATGTCATGGTATATGAACGTAACATCTATCCTTATTGTGACGTGTTGCCGTGGGTGCCGGGGCCTCGCGCTGGAGGGGAGGGGTCGCTTGACTTCCAGGCTGCCTGGTCTGGATATTTCAACATCTTGGGAGGGGGGATTATAAACAAAGTCGCATTCCTGGGCGCGACCAAGTTGTGTGTGAGCCGGAGGGCACTGCGGCGGCAAGACAACAAAGTGTTGAGCGTGTGTATCCCCATGTAAAAGTGTTTGTCGAATCATATTCAAGGCAGCAGACTCCAAAAAGCAAGGGTTGACCATAAAGGGCGTAATTACCAACCTAGGTCACATTTTTATAAGCACGTACCCACCACTCCAAAAACTGAAGTCTTAAACCCATCCAAAAAATGATTAAACAAAACAAGTAAAACATACTTTACAACATATCCACATCACAATAGGTAAGATGAATGTGAGGTACACATATTCAAATCAGTATATTTTTTTTAAAAAGGTAGGATTTTACTTTGACATGTAAAAAAGTTATTTTACTGATGTGAATTCTGTTTCACTACTAAAGTACAGAAATGAAAACATTAGGAACCTAAACACAGGACTTTTAGATGCAGTTATGAATATAACTAAACCTATCAACATGCTTACTTTTTGGCGTCTAATTCTGGTGATTTTTTCTTTCTGTCTTTTGCTTGCTTGAAATAACGCTGAAATTCATCATGTGCCCTTTGAACACTGCAACAATAATTACAATAACAATTAAAAAGAGCTGCTCTAATGAAGCACTAATACATCATAAACATTTCAGTTAGAAACCATGAAAAAGATCTACTTTGACCAAGACACTTACGACAACATTGTGCGTGCATAGTTATCGACTTAAATATTAATCCAAAACCACAAATCCTGTCATTAATGGTGAAATGTTAAATAAATTTCAACGGACTTAAAATCGGAATTTTCAGAATATATATGAATATGACAACTTTAACAACACCTTCAATAAGATGGCTCTGAAGTGATTAACAAAATGGCCGATAAAAACAAAAAAATATAAAAATTTATGTGTATTATACCATGACAGAACCAGAGAACTGTAATCCACTTTTAATTACACATTTGAAATTATCCTTTAAATCACTGATGTCATTTGGTACACACAAGATTCTGAACATGATTTAAAACTACATTATAAAATATCTAATCAATAGTTAAATCTTCAATCCATATGCTAATGAGGGCATTCTCTTATTTAATGCACTGTTTCAGCCATCTCCATTAAATTACTAAAGCATTCCACTTCTTTCACTCATGGAGAAAAATCATAATTTTTACTCTTCTCCTTTTTTAACATAATTAAATCAAGAGCATGCAGTTTATTTAATGACAGTCAGCACCGTAGTCTGCACTGTGATCTATTAAAGTCAATACTTCACCTATGTTCGGAGGATGTTATTACAAGTCAAAAATAAGGAGTACTCATTCTCGATTTTAAAGGAGTTATGGACATCTTATGTCGAAATTGCTGCCAAAATTAAGCTGAAGTAAATTCACTGTGTATTGTTTTACAATTTTTATTGAAGAAATAATTATTATAATAATTATCTTTGGCAAGTTATTACTCTGTCTAAATGGTAACAGTTTCTTAAACAAGGATATATTTCACGCCACTGCACTTTAAAAACATTAATATACCTGAGAATATCGGATCCAAAATCTTCAAGGAACTCAACTTTTCTCTGAGCAAACAGAACTTTTTGTTCTGGATCTGTATCTCTTGAAAGGAACTGATCAATAATAGAAACAATGTCATCTTCATTCAGAGGATTCTGCTGCAGACCCATATCAATAAGCTGGAGATATAGTCGAGGATTGTCCTGCAAGCACGCGAAACACTACATTATATGCCAGTCATATTATATTCTAAGAATTTATCTGTAGGTCATGTAACACAAAATATGATACTGTCTTAACATTTCAGCAACTCTCAATTACCTGCACAAATATTAGCGGGGAAGAAGGCTCTTAACGACAAATACCAAAGAAGTGCTTCAAGAACAATTTTGGAAAAGATATTGTAACAGAATCATAATGTAATATAATTTCAGAATAACAGACTTCAAAGAAATCATACAAATTTGCCATCTTGACACAGTCCTGAGCCGGTTCTACACATTTCTGTAAAATTCACAGTATTCCTTGCCTTGTCTGCCCTGGCCATACACACAGCAAATAGCATTAACAACGTTGAATGTGCTGCTACTTATACCCGCAGAGAATAAAACCACGTGGGAATACAAAAGACGCAGAAGCAGACTTGGCAACATCACTGGTGTTAAGTTCGACGGCCACTGGGAAAAGTAAGAAACCTGATCTTCAAATTTTCATTTTCCTTCTAGGAAGTAAGGAGTAAGGCTGTACTGACAATTTAAATCAATTCTTGTTACATGTAACATTCTCAGCACATAATTTCTTCCAACACAAGTTATAAATTCGGGCACCGCCGGGAATGGAACCCGAGACCCCAGGATTACAAGGCCAGCGTTCTAACCGCTAGACCACCGTGGCGTTCTTCTGCTGTTAGGGTCAACTATTTTGTACCTGCCAGTTCACTAAACATCTGAACTTGTCCGTCTGTTACATGGTTTATGCAACAGGATAAACAGAGCTAATATTCGCCAGCTGAAAAACACTCTACATTACAGCTTTTATGTAAAATGTACACTGTGGTCAGCGAGTTTCAGCTTGACTTTCACTACATACTCTAGTCAAAGTGAAGTTAACTACTGCTCTACCAGAAAACATTGGGTCAGGTATATTATAATTTACAGCTGGCATCAAAAGCTGATGTTTGCAGGCCTTGTAGTAACCAAATGCTTATCTGGTTGGACAGAAGAAAGCAGTTTGTCATGAAATTTAAACAAAAGAAGCTATATAAAAAAACTGTATTGCCATGTACTGCTAAAAAAGTATAATACTAACCTTATCTTTCTCAACAGCTTTATTCAAAATGGATATGGCTTTCTCCACATCCCCTTTTACCTGTCAAAGAAAAACAAACATTATACCACGTTCACAATTACGTGATGCAGCCACCTAAGAGAAGATTTCTTCCACAAGTATCCATTTCGACGCACTGCAGCAGAAAGAGAACAAAGTATACTGGCCTTCTTGGCCCAAAGAGGCATCTTACCTCAGCGTTAAGAGCGTATCAAAGTGAAGTGGAGGCATAGCTCTTGTTCTCGCCTCAAATTGCTGAAAGTAGGAATCAAGATTTAACACAATGCAGTTACTGGCCAGAAAAGTGTTCACATGTGATTTTTTGTGTATGGCTTTTCTGATGAGGAGCAACTATTCTCATTTCTGCAACATTTCCCCAGCATTTCATGACCTTGGGGGGTGGAGCAAAACTGGAGGTGCAAAGTCAACACTTATCAGAAATAGGTCACTGCATACAGAAAAAATACACAAGTGGTAAGGAGTAGAACACAAATAATTCCAAGGGGATACCAAATATTCATTCTACTTACCTTCCAGCAAAATCTGGCATATTTGATAGCCATGTTGTTGGAGATAACTTTGTTCTTAGTACTGGAGATATAATGCTCGTACAGAGCACAAACTTTGTCCATATTATTACATCGCCTCTCCAAATTGATACGACGGTATGCAACCTGTAGCATGTTGGGAACAAGCTTTTCCAAGTTGTTCAATATTTCTGAAGCCCTGTCATAATTCTCTGAAGTGAAAAGAAAAACAAAAATTGTAAAAATGAAATTTTACAGCATTGCCAAAATGATCAACTGCAAATAAATTATGAATTAGACAAGAACAGACATGAATTCAGTCATGTGCTGGGCACTCAAGGTTGTTGCACTCCGCCCGTCCGGCAAATGCCGGTACAGAACTTTCAAGCAGGCCAAGACTGCTACATTCCTCATTCTACGTAGTTCTGTATATATAATTATCTTCATATATCATTTAAAAAACATTCTCACTAATTAAATAATACAGATTTTTATTTCTGGGAAATAAAAACATTCTAAGTTTACTTACGATGGCTTTCTTCAAAGACTGCCCAATGAAGATGCAGATTTGGTTTCTTTGTGTGGTGGATAGTGCAAGCACGCTCGTACACATTGCGTATTTTATCAAGTGGCTCTCCATTCAGGCCTTCAAGGTAACGGATGAACTAAGAAACATGCATAAACAAAATGTATTCTGAGCTGCAAATATTCATGCCCTAAAAATACACATGGGGTTGTCTCGTTACACACTGAATAATGTGAAACACACAGAATGAAATTGTGTATAAACACATCTGTGCCTAATCAAGAGACTGCTGCGTTGTACCCTTTATTCAATAAGCCTGAATGTTGTCACAAAACTTATTCAATATGCTTGTAAAGTAACAGGCACAGATTACAGATTTCTTAAGAAATACATGATAATATAGTTAGGCATGTGTGGGGCTTGGACTTGTTTGAGAAAATTTGCATATACAGGTAGCCCTCGATTTGCGCGGATTCACAATAATGCTGATTTTGAAAACCGGCAAGTCAAAAAGTGAAAAGAATATATTTTACTATTATTTATAACGTTTTACAATGTATCTTGTACCGATACTTATACAAAATAGTAATTCTTACAGCGCTGATTTTGAATAAAAATTAGAAATACAGTCATCTCTGTAATTACGTATGTTTCATTAACGCCAATTTGCTCCAATGAGATCGATGAATCGGTAAAAGCTGTTTGTGAAATGTAAACTTTTGCATACGCGAGTTTGCTGTTATGCAATTTCATTCCTGACGCTTTAAACTTTCAAAGGACTATTTTAATCTCGGCGGAGGTACCGGGGTTATTTTTACTACGCGTCTTACATCAATGCAACCGTCGCATAACAGCAGAGATGACTGTACACATCAATCACATGAAAGAATCGCAGTCAATCGCGGGGACCAACGAATTGCTGATTGTAAGTGTATAAAATATATTTTTTTAAATTCCCTTTATTTTATTTACGTTATTTCAGAGCTTTAAATGTAATGTCATCATATTACTCGTCAATGTTTGGGTGCTGGGAACGCGTGTCATTGATTTACATTATAAAGATTTTCGATTTACGCCAATTCCATTCGCGCCGGTTCGTCCAGGAACGCATTCCTGGCGTAAATCGAGGGCTACCTGCACTAGGAGTTCCTTAAAACAAGAGTTTACAATGTTTAGAAAAGATGTTTTTGTAACAAATACTTGTTATGGGCAATTAGGCATCTGGAAAGGCAAAACTGCTCTACAGAATAAAAAAAGATTGATGAATATCAAGAACACAATCACTTACTGAATATTAATTTGCTAGCACAGGCTGAACAAAAGCAGAGTAAAAC